AGATTCATGTTTGGATTATTCTGCAAAATAGACTTTATAATCTGTAACACATTGCTACCACTTATTTGTGTGTTTTACATTTATAAATATTGTTTTGAACGTACTACACGGTGCTTAAGGCAAAATTCACAACTGTGCAGTGTTTCTCCATTTTCACATGAGGGACCAGTTAGCTGATTTGACCTCATTACAAGGCAGGGCGCTGTTAAATCTCTCTCTCTCTGAGTCCATGTGTGTATAAAAAAAAAACAAACAAACAGGACAGATGTGCACAAACCTCTGCATCTCCATGGCTTGTCTGTCCTTGTGAGTGTATTGCCCTTTAAAGCTTGAATTTGTTTATAATGCCTCCACAAATGCAGTACAATCACATAAAACCCCTCAACAACGTCGCCTCTGTGCTATTAATGAATGAATGATGATCAATTCTTTGAAGTATTTTACAGAGCAGGGTCACACACACACACACACACACACACACACACACACACACACACACACAGTGATGCTGCTACATGATTAATCGCCAAAAACTCTATTGAAGTCGTGGAAAATCCATTAATAAATAGTGACCAGCCGTAAAAATATAATAAAAACCAAAGAAACTGGAAAGTTTGCCATTTGTGTGTATTTTCCGTCTCTACAATTTGACTTTTCCTTCTTCTAGCTGTCGGTGAGTTACATTACAAAAATGTTTGGTTATGTTTAGATTTTTTTGTGCCGAATTCAAGTTAATAGTTGAGCACTCCCACATTTTCAGTTTGGAAAAAAATCATCAAGGGTGCCAATTTGGATTTAGCCCCAAAGAGATTTCCTCTCTCTGGTTGTCGGGGTGGTCAAATCCAACTCTGACCAGCTGGGATAGAGGGATAATCTGTGTGTAAAAAAAAATCACTTGTTTTAATTACACACTCACAGACACACAAATGCACGCACTCTCTCTCTCTCTCTCTCTCTCTCTCTCTCTCTCTCTCTCTCTCTCACTCCCACACACACACACACACACACACGCACATACAGTACACATGTGGACATACATGCATTAACACAACTACAACACCGATGCGCACTATGCTTTGGCCATCCGTCGTCATAATAGACAGATGCTTACTTTGAATTTAATTTGGGTTCGTGCGTGAAGTGCCAGAAAAATGTGACTTGACTGAATGTGACTTGGTAATTGATCTGATTTTTAAGCGTTTGGACATGTGGTGGAGATTAAAGCTTCATCAGAGAGAGAAAACATTTTTAAAAAGATTAAAAAGGCAATATGTCTAATTGCAAAATGCAGCAGCAAACAGTAAAACACAGCCATGACAACGCAATTCATTACAAATTGTCTACATATAATGTGGATATGCTGAACTCTAATATAAAAAAAAGATATTTGATAAATTACATGTTGTATGTATGTCATCATCAGTTAAAGAGGTCAGTGGGAATGTAATTCATTTTATTTATTATATTTATTATGAGAGTCTATGTTTTAAAATCAATACATTTTTATGGAAGCCCCTCACTGCCAAGAAAATACATTTTTGTAATATAATATAAATGTGATTAAAAGTTTAAAAACGCTCATTTCAAAATGTTATTAATTATAATTTTGACTATTTGGTTTAAATTGTTTTCATATAATGAACAAATTGTAGCAGTAGAAACAAGCTGTGTGAACAAATACTGACATTTTACCAATTTTTAAGCTGAAAAAATGTATTAATAATAATAATAATAATAATAATAATAAATAAAAAGATAAATATATCCATCTGATAGTCACAGAGCAACATTATAATTCATTTGGAGTTGTGTGTCTGTCCACCTGATGAATCTAAAGTCCAATATTCACTCTCCTCTTCCTCTTAGCTCTGTTTTGGTCTCCATCAACTCCAGAGGGAAATATTTGGCTCTTTAGTTACTAAATATTCTGGTTAGTCAAACATGTCCAGCCAGCTCACTGCTAACTTAGTGTGTCTGCACTTTGGTCCACATAATGTACCGTGTGTTTTTAGAGCAGATTCGCTGAATATTGTTGCCCACTGCAGCCGAAAATGACACAGCGCCCATATAGAAATGTAATATATGACATACAGTACATGTCCCTATATCAACAGTCATGTAGCCATATGTTTCACCTATGAGGGGAGATATTATTATCACGTATATACATCCTCTGGATAGATGAAGATATAAGTTTATAACATATATGAAATGCCCTTAGTAAAATTTGTATTTGTACATATATTAAAAATATCCATTTGATTAATTTTTACATAGAACACATGCTCAAGTTTATGTATTCTATGTACAAATTATGTGTTAACATGTGTTAACATTATATATTTAATCTATTTATTTTATTAAATGTATTATTTTTTTATTTTAATTATATATTTATTTATGCAAGTTTATTAAAACAACTCATGTTTAAATATCTATATGTTTGTAAATGTGTTTCCTATATTTCTCATTAATTTTAAACATGTCTAACTTTCTGGGAAACATTTTGGGGAAGTGGTCTCAGACTTTTGGACTCTACTGTACATCATATCAACACATACAGGCTGTGGGATGGATATATATTTATGTAACATCTATCTTTAATGTAAGCATACATACATTAATGTATATATATTGGCCAAATATATGTTAGTATATGAAATTGTTCCAATTTCTAAAGGTTTCATATAGAATTTTTACATATATGTACATATAAAATGAAAATGTACATGTATTTCATATATGGAAATTCAATATATGTACATATACTACATTTGCATATGGGTGAGAGTGGTTAGTGTGAACCAAAACAATGAAGTTGGATGTAGAAAATGAAAGCAGTGACCTGAAAGATGCCGTGAAGCTCTGGAGAGTTGAGCAGCAACTACATTTGATCTATTGTTATCATAAAGTACAGATTGCAGCCGCCCTAAGTCCAAACTTTTACTAACTTAGTAAGTGTTCTTCTGATTTTAATTTAGTATCTCGAAATTCTTTCAGGAACGTCCTGTAAACTACTAAAACATCTGAGCAGTGAAAGTTACTGTACGGCTCAGTTCAAATCCAACTCACAGAGAGGAATCTGCCTGTTATGAAGCTCTGAACGGAATTAAACTGGTCATCTATATATTACATCACAATAATGTTTGTTATAATGTTTTTCAATAATTTGCCAGATACAGAGGTTTAAAAAATTCAAAACAACAAATACACTCAGCTGACATGGTTGCAAGGCTGCTGGTTGGCTGTTGCTGATGACAAAATAAAAAATCATGGCCTCACTAAAACGGTTGAGAATCAAAAAAAAAAAAAAAAAAAAAAAAAAAAAAAAGAAGAGAAGAGAATAGGAAATGGCCTTTTTTAGGTACATGAGGGTGTTTCTGTCGGTCACCGTGCAGCGCAGGGATTTACTTAGTCATGGTGGCTAACGCTGTCCAGATGGTCTGATGAGGCACTATCTAATTACTTCTCCCATGGGTCCTCTCGTTCTGATAAATACTTACTGGGCCACCGCTGTTAGAAATCCTTCACTGCCACCACGAGGGGATTCAAGCATCTACAGATGAGTGCAGGTTGTTGGGACCAGATGACACTGGCTGGTGAGTGAAATCAGGAGACAGAGGAGAGGCTGTAAGGGGGCAACAGAAAGGCCAACAACGTGATGTTTATGTGTAACTGGAGCACATGTGGTTGAGATTTCAGAGGCCTAATCATTTTCTTTATTAATGTCTGTGTTTTATTCTTTCCAAAACAGAAACATGGATTTTTAAAAACAACAGATTATGTTATTAAGCCATTTCCTGTCAGTCATGCTCCCTGGCTTTGTATCCTCGGTGGTCCAAGCGCCTGCCTTTTTCTTGCAGGTGGAACTGGATCCAGTTATGAAAACTAATGATTTCTGTTCCAGATTTTGTTTCTCCATCAAGGATATGTTTGTAATCTTTCTGACTGCTTTGTGTGCACACACTGATTTATGGCTGTTTCTGTATCTCACCCCGTGTTTCTCCGTCAGTTGTAGAGGTGGAACCAGGAACCAAGTTTAGCTGACTCCTAAACAGCCTCAATACAACTTTGCTCATCAGGTACTTGTGCGCCTGCTGTGGAGAAATCACATTTATGACACCCATGAGGATTCTCAGTCACCCAGGTCATGGTTGGCCAAGAAAGTTGAATCGAGGGCGACGGGACCTGGTTGTAGATGCTTGAAGATGTTTCACCTCTAATCCAGGAGGTTTCTTCAGTTCTTCCACGTGGTCATGTTTACAAATATGTAAATCAATTTTAGAGAGAGTTAATGAAGATTTTTTTCTTCAGATCCTTCAGAGCGTATCCATATCAAGCGTCTCCCCGGACCTGCTGCAGGAGATTTTGTGCTGCTTGTTTATAATCCAGAATATGGACTAATGTGGGTTTTTTATGTGGGAATCTCTGTTAAGGGAAACTACTGATCTGAAGGTTCTGCATGAATGCTTTAGCATTTACATGGAAGAACTGAGCTTCAGTGGCACATAGAGTGGAAGGAATCGTGTAGGGGTAGGTATGATTTCTCTCTGGAGTCATCTGTTCAAAGAACGAGGCAGATGATAGACTCTGGAGAAGGGATGATGTTGTTCTAACTAGGCTGAGGCTGGGGCATTGTGGTCCAGCAAGCAATTTCAAAGTCATGGGCAAACATCCAGATGGTCTCTGTCAGTGTGGGAATTTGGAAACAGCCCAACATGTTGTATTCTCACGTAACAAAGTCGGAAGTGAAAGCCAACAGTCATTCGTGGAGTTGTCAAACTTTCTCTTTCAAGTCTGTGTTTTTTCATCTGAAATTAATTTCCTACTTATTGATAGATCGATCTCAACTGATCTGCATTACAAAAAACAAACAAACATAATAATCAACAAACCCCTCTCCTATGGAGGGCGGCATTACGCGTTACAGTGTACAGCCTGCCGGAAATTCATTCGAAGAAGAAGGAGAGTCCGGAAGTGGCGTTCAGCTGCAATTGACAACAAGAAGAAAGTGTCGAGGAGTGGGACTAAAAGCTTTTTTTTTTTACTGCCATTCACTGCAGGAGGAAGATATTTTATCTAAGAAACACTTATCTGTTCCCATTCCTCTATCACAGCTCTTCAGGGGAATAAAATGGGTAACGTTTAGTATTTTGCTGCTATAATCATCGGTTTGTTTTGATGTTAGCATGCCTGCTAACGCTAACTTCATAGCATCGATTTATCAAAAAGTTATAATAGTTCCTGGGGTTTTTAATCTAGATATAACGCAAAGATGCTGTTTATTTTATATTCATTTCATTTGGAGCAAATATTGAACAGAAGAATTAAGTTTTCCACTTTGTATTTGTTGTGTATTTCTAGCCCCAGTCCAGCCCAGTATGTTATAACTTAACTAATGTTAATACTCTAGTTCGATACTGATGAAACGAACTGTGGCTTCGGCCTCTCAAAATATCAACAGGAGACAAACCCAGTTAAAAAGAAAATGAATCAACCTAAACAATACTCTTATACACATCTAAAGAGTTTTATTCATCCAGCTTCTTTTCCTATTTTTTTCAGTTAAGATAAAGTCACACTGAAATTAAAATCTTTTTAAAGAGAAGTCATCTGTATTGAACACTAAACAGTTACACCAATACATCAAGAACAACCCCCAAACACAATAAAAGATAACGAATACATGCAGTCTTTGCCTCTTAACGTTTTCTTTGGCATCTGACACCATATCTCTTGCAAAAACAAGCCACAGAAACTTGAGTCTTTGCAGATTGCAGTGTTATCCATGTCCACTGAAGGGAGTTCATGTTTTCTTAACTTGTTATTTCAGCACAACTTTCTCTCTCTCATGTGAAGACTGTAGATTTTAATATAGATGCCTAATATTTCTTGTGTGACAGAAAGATTTCTGTGACTGGATCCATTTATTGATCTAATGATGCCTCTCTCCCCATGTAGAGGGCTCCCTCCCCATGTCCTCGCTGAGGCTCCTGGCTCCACCTCTGCGAGTGATGTTGGCTGTGATGTGGAAGGTGGTTCATCAGAGGAACATAAAGCATTATGGGAAAGTGGAGGAGTTTGTGTCCTTGGTAACTGAAGCCATCCCTGACATCTTGACAAACAGACAGATGAGGCTGCTCACTCTGGCCTTAAGAGCAAAGGTAAGAAACACTGATGCCCCATACTGTACATTAATATAGAGTTGGCAGTGGCAGATATTGAGTTTAAAAGGTATTCAATCTCAATGAGACTACCTGTTTAAATAAAGTATTTAATAATAATAATAATAATAATGATCACTGGGGTGTTTGCAGCTACAAGGAGGGATTCTTCTGTTTTCTTAATTGTGAATGTCTCCATGTCTTTTCCAGATGACGTTACAGATGTTATGCTCTGAACAGTCAGAGGATTTCAGACGTGTGAGAACACACTTAGACAGCCTCCTGCCATCCAGCTCAAAGCAGGTGTGTGACTTTGTTAATCATGGACATTGACTGTGGTGTGTTTTAAGAATTGTTATGCTTATTTTAAATGTGCACATTTTTACTTGACAGCTTCAGCCAGAAAATGAAGCTCTTGAAGCGAACTTTGTCCGGCTTGTTCAGAGACTTCTAGAGGACCCAGAGGGGAGAGAACACTTCCTCGAGGTGTGACTCTGTTTTTGCCTCGTTGTTAGTTTTAACATGAAAAGGGGCAGTTTGTTTTTTTCAAATGATGTGGTATCATGAGACTTCATATCCAGACATTTGGTTGAAATTTTCTACCTGACAGAATGTGTTTCCTTTGGAGTATGGCCCCAGCTTCGATACAGCACTGGAGACTCTGGTTTCTGAGTTCTTCACCCGACTGGAAGAGCTGGTGCTTATACCAAACTTTAAACAGGTACACACACCATGATTTTCTGCTATAATAAAAACGCATTTGCATTTGAATTGCATTTCCAGATTCCCTGGTTCTAGTCCATCAAAATAATAGTTATGTGTGTTTGATAAAGACTGCAGTGTGGATCAGTGATACATCCTCTGTGCTAGAAGAGTACATGCAGTGTGTAACCAAAGCAGATGACCTCAAAGTACTGCTCAGAAGCAAGGTGCATCATGGGAAAATGGCCAAGATGGATTCCAGTGGTAAGTGTGTCTGCCTGGACTACCAGCCAGGTCTTTATGTGTATATCAGTGCTGAAATAATCATGAGTCAATGCATTATTTTAATTAAACACCATTAAATAGACAACATATGATTGTTTTCTCTCTTTAATGTCTTTTTTCAAAAAGTTCCGTCACCCTCAGAGCAGCAGCTCTTCTCATCACTATCTCTCTCCCCTTCACTGAGAGCAACCAACACCAAATACAAGGAATCCATCACAGAAACATCTGAAAACCAAAGAGAGTCTGTGGCAGTTTCTCCTCAGGAAGAGGGGGAGATGGGGGTAGAGGATACAAGATGGCCGGATGAGAATGAGACACACTGTCAGAGCAGCAGCGATGCTGAACAAACAACAGGGGGGAAATGCAGCGACAGTGTTCCTGATGTTCACATTGTGGAGGAGTGCGATGACAGAACTCCCTCTACATCTGCTGAGAGTCCTGTATTGTCCAGCTCTATGATCGGTCCCCCTCGGCAGAGAGTTGCACACAAGTGCAGTCAGTGTGGGAAGTGCTTTATTTATCGCTATGAGCTCCTGGAGCATCAAAGACTGCACACAGGAGAAAACCCTTACAAGTGCTCTCAGTGCGGAAAGGCCTTCAGAAGGACGTCTGACCTGTCCACACACAGACGAACACAGTGCACAAAAGCAGCTTATATTTGCATCAAATGTGGAAATAGTTTTCAATCTATACAGGAAAAATTTAGACACCAGTGTGTTCATAGTGTCCAAAAGTTTGATTGTTCTCAGTGCGGAAAAAGCTTTAAGAAATTGTATTTGCTGGGTAAGCATGAGCTGACTCACACCCAGAACCGTATTTTCACATGCAGACAGTGCAAGGAAGTGTACCCCACTATGAGTGAGCTGAGATCCCATCAGAAGGTCCATCCTCCCGAGCTGTCCAATCAGTGCATGCAGTGTGGGAAATTCTTCAGCTCTGCTGCATGTTTGACGGCCCACGAGCTGCGCCACAGACAGAAGAGGACACAGATTTGTGTGCGTTGTGGCAAAGCTTTTAAGAACAAACATGACTTGAATCTTCACATGCGCAGCCACACGGGTGAGAGGCCTTTTCAGTGCACGTACTGTGGGAAACGTTTCTCTGTGTCAGGAAATCTGAACATACATATTAGAACTCACACTGGAGAGAAACCATATCTGTGCTCAGACTGCGGCAAGGCTTTTGTTTCAGCTGGCGAGCTGCAGATACACAGACGCACCCACACGGGGGAGAAGCCATACAAATGCACTGTATGTGGGAGAGGATTCACCATGGCGAGTAAAGTGACACTGCATATGCGCGTTCACACCGGGGAACGTCCTTATGTCTGCTCTGAATGTGGGAAAGGTTTTTCACGGGGTAGCGAACTGAAAAAACATACCATGAACCATACAGGGGTTCGGCCCTACGCTTGTCAGATGTGTGCAAAGACTTACACATGCCTCAATCACCTGAAGAGACACTTAAAAACTCACAGTGAAGTCCATAGCCAGTCTGTCTGATCCCTTTTAATTACCACAAGGCTTCGAATGATTGTCTTCATACAGCTTGTCTGTACTGACTGTGGTACTGACTTGTTGCACAGTGTTATAGGTTTCACACTCACCTTCTGTTGTAAGGACTGTTTTACAGAAATGCAACTTTATACTGGCTGATTTCGTTTCCTGCTTTGTCAGATCTGTTGTGATTGTAAACTCTATAAGTGTGCTACTTTCGCTGACCTTCTGAAACATATGTTAAAAGGATCTCTAAGAAAACATTCTCCCTCTGTATTCATTAGTGCATATTTCTACTGTCAGTTAACTGTCATTTCTTATTGGAGTTAACATTATTTGCCACTATCAGTGTTTAGTGTTTGTCTAAAGAATTTGTTCCTGACAGCAGCAGAATTTCTACTTGAATCCAACATCAGACATCCTGCAGTGGCCTTTTACAATACCAATATTTTAATTTGGTGCCGTCAAAAACAAACCGACAAATGATAAATTATCTGAAATAAATAAACTTCAAATAAACCTAGAATATTGTAGAATAAAAGAAGAAAGTATTACAATTTCAGTGATTTTTTAAAGGTAGCTCCTACCTCCCTAAGTTATTCAAAACTTTTATCTTTCAGTTTTCTATTATATAACCTGGGACACAAAAAATCATGAGACATAAGTAAATACATAAATACAGTTTATCAAGTTTAAACGTTACTATTATGATTTATGTTTTTGATGGTCTGGAGAGGCGGTGCATCTCATTTTGACAGTAGATTATGGATCGCTTTTTCGGGCTGCCCCCTACACCAAAACAAACATCCCTGTTACAAACCGCCACTGACTGGGCCAATGTTCCCCATAATGAACAACGTGTTTCAGGAAGAAGTTGGCGCCTGAAGACCCGTATGCGGTTAGCTAGCACGCTAACCGAAACTATGAAAGATTTGATAGTGTAATGGTTTTTCAAACCATCGTCATTGAAGAATTCCAAAATGAACGACATGGGTAAGTATTGGCTCATGAAGCTTGTAAAACTGTGTTTTCTGCTTCTTATACGGTTAGCCGAAAAGCTAAAGAGAAGGATTAGCCGAGGCTCACCAGGCCTCGACTAATCCCTGGAACAAGAATTGTTTTGCTCAATAATACACCGGTTTAACCAGGCAACACCAGTGGCCTTGTGGCTAGACTCGTTACGTGAACCAATAATTTGTACAAATGATGAACGATATCTTGTGTTTAAAATGTTTCTCTGCGGTCGAATAGGTTGTTAAAATATATCAAATGCAACACAGCAGCTTAAAATGAAGTAAAGTGACTAACGTAATGCTAACAGTTAGCTGTTTGGGAACGTCCACGTCCTATCGGTAAACTGGCCATTTCGCACAGTGTGCGATGCAAAGTAAAACACTGCATGTGTTTGTTTTAGCATATGATGACTGGCCCAACGAGCACATGAAATAAATGATTGGAGCTAGCTGTGTGCAATGTGGGAAGCCTGGTGCTCCAGATAACGGAATATAGATTGCTGTATTACACTCTGTAGCTAGGCATCACAGGGATGGGTTGGATACCAGAATAAAGTGAGCAGACTTCCGTGGCTGAACTGCCTGTACAGAGGGATGCTGAATTGACAAGGAAAGGCATTTCTAGTCTCCCATTAGCACTGATGTGTATTCCACTTCCTCCTGAAAATGCATTATAAGTGAACTCCGGGACTACACACCAGTGACACTATTTTGCTATTACGTGTGTTTGGGTTAGGGTTAATCAATCTAATGTCTCTTTGAAGAATTCAGCGTCCCCCTGTCCTCACTGGCACTCCTGGTCCCACCACTACGACTGATGTCAGCTGTGATGTGGGAAGTGGTACGCCAGCGGAACATAAAGCACTATGGGAAACTGGAGGAGTTTGTGTCCATGGTAACGGATGCAGTTCCTGAACTGATGAGTAAAAGAGAAGGGAGGCTGCTCTCACTGGGCCTGAGAGCAAGGGTAAGTGATTTGAAATATATTTTTTGTGTTTAATAAGAGGTTTTCTTAATAAGACTTTAAACCCATAATGATAATCCAGAAAAGATTGTCATGGAAACACTGATACTAAAAATACAAAATACATTTTCTATAGACAACTCTTGAACTGTTGCGTTCTGAACATCCTGAAGATCTCAAGGCTGTTGAGACCCATCTTAACAGAATCCGATCTTCTTGCATTGAGGAGGTGAGTGATAAATGTTTTAATGATCGATAGTAGAACTGAAATGATTAGCCAAATGATCAATTACTCGATTAGTAGAAAACTATTTTGATAATAGAGTAATTTTTTGAATACATTTTAAGCAGAAATACCAATAATTTAACAGGTTCAAACTATTCAAAGTTCAGATTTTTTTTCTGCTTTATTGTGACAGTAGGTTGGGTTTCAGTGAGATTTTGACAGTCAAAACAAACAATATGCAGACATCACCTTGAGCTCTGGGAAATTGTTAGGGGCATTTTTACCTGGTCATCTCACTGGTGTCTTGTTTTCCAGACAAATGATCCTGTAATTGAAGCACCAGAGGCAAACTTCATGAAGCTCGTACAAGGCCTCATTGAGGATACTGATGGCAGAGAACATTTCCTCAAGGTAAGATTGATATTAAACTTAATTTATATGGCGTAGTAAAACATATGATTTGCTACATTTCTAATGTTAGAAGTCAGTTTTTTTCATTACAATTTTACAATTCAAAAATGTGAAAAATGTAATGTAGATATTCCCTGTCTGAGCATAAGGACAGCATCTCGTTCTGAAGGTGTTAAGCTGTCTTTTCTTTCATCTGACAGAATGTGTTTCCTGTGGAGTATGGCCCTGACTTCGACACAGCACTGGAGACTTTAGTTTGTGAATTCTTCACAAGGCTTGAGGAGCTGCTGCCAATACCAGATTTCAAACAGGTAGAGAAAGGACTGCTAAACAACGAGAATAACAAAACAGTTAAAATGCAAGACACTTTGAACTTGAAATTCAAAATTGTTTGCGTTTCTCCTCGTAGACTGCTTCTTGGATCAGTGCTGCCCCCTCTGTCCTAGAGGAGTACATGCAGTGCGTCTCAAACGGAGACGACCTAAAATTTCTTCTCCAAAGCAAACAGTGCCATGGGAAACTGGCAAAGAGTAGTGTTGGTATGTATACAGTTTACATTTACTATAAACTAGTCAACGAATAGTGTGTCAGCTGAAGAAGTGAGAGACTGTTACATGAATATTTTTTTCCTCATGTTTTCCTCACAGCTCCGTTTCAGTCAGACGATCTTCTCATTCCCTCTTTGTCTCTCCCTCCATCGCTGGAAGTGGCCATCGCTTCCCACCCGAGTGCTTGTGATGATGAAAATAATGACGTTCCTCAGATTGTTATGTTTGACGAAGAACTGTCTACAAACCCTTCCACCTCAACTGACTTTCCCGAATCACCCAAAAGGACTGACATCTCGTCGTCTCCGCGCAGGAGACAGCAGTCAGGGATGCATAAATGCCCCGAGTGTGACAAATGCTTCAAGCATCACTCTGTCCTCATCGAACACCAGAGAGTTCACACCGGGCTGCAGCCGTACAACTGCTCTGAGTGTGGGAGGGCTTTCAGAACAGCCACTCTGTTGGCCGGTCACAGGCTGCGGAAATGCAAAAATGCTGCATATCTGTGTATTAAATGTGGGAACAGTTTTCCAACCTCGCTGGACAAATTCAGACACCACTGCCCAAAACGTGGTCGTAATTACGACTGTGGGCACTGTGGAAAGAGTTTTCAGAAGTCTAGCAGCTTGAAGGAACACCTGCTAACTCATGTTCAAAGCCGCCTTTTCAAATGCAGCCATTGTGGCGTTGGTTTTTCAGGAATTGGTGACCTGAAGTATCATCAGCAAGTAGATCATGATAAGCCATACCACTGTAAGCAATGTGGAAAGAGCTTCATCTCCTCCAAGTGTCTGACCAAACATCAACAACGGCATCAAGAGGTTGGTGAGATGGAGACGGCCAAATTGATGAGTGGAGGTAAACACAGGAAAAGTGTCTCAGCTCATCGGACATCTTCATCGTCTCTGTCGTCCAGGAAGACCTCTGTGAAGGCTGTCTACCCTCGTGGACGAGTCACCCACAACTGTCCGCTGTGCGGAAGGAGCTTTAAATATCGCTTTGAATTTCTCGAACACCAGAGGTTCCACACTGCAGTGAAGCCTTACAAATGCTCTCAGTGTGGCAAAGCCTTCCGCACAGAGGCTCACCTGTCCGGCCACAGGAAGAGAAAGTGTAAAAACGCTGCCCACATTTGCACCAAGTGTGGGTGTCAGTTCAGGTCTCTCCATGAACGTGTCAGACACCAGTGTGTGCAGCTGCTGACAAAATACGAGTGTTCTCATTGCGGAAAGACCTTCAAGATGGCCCACCTGCTCAGAAACCATCAGATGAGTGAACATCAGCTTCCCTACAGCCCCAACCATCGCTTCAGGTGCAGATACTGTGATGAGACTTTCCCTGGGATCAGTGAGCTCAAGTACCATCAGAGAGTTGACCATGAGAAACCCTATCAGTGTCAGGAATGTGGCAAGTGTTTCTTGTCTGAAAAATGCCTAGCCAATCACGAGCTGCGCCACAACGACGACAGGCCAGAGAGCTGTCTTGTCTGTGGCCGCGGCTTCAGGAACCGCTACGACTTGAAGCAGCACATGCGCACTCACACAGGAGAGCGACCGTACCAGTGCACTCACTGTTCACAGTGTTTCTCCACAGCAGGAGGACTGAGGAGTCACACCAGGGTCCACACGGGCGAGAAGCCACACGTCTGCCCAGATTGTGGGAAGGCTTTCTCCCAGATGGGCGCAATGCGCACCCACAGGCTCACCCACACAGGAGAGAGGCCATTCAAGTGCACGGTGTGTGGCAAAGGTTTCACAATGGCACACAAGGTAACAGTTCACATGCGTGTTCATACTGGAGAGCGGCCGTACGTGTGCTCTCAGTGTGGGAAAGCCTTCTCAGATGGAAGTGTGCTGAAGCAGCACATGTTGAACCACTCAGGAGTGAGACCATACCACTGCCAGATCTGTCCCAAGACCTACACCTGTCTGAACCACCTGAGGAGGCACCTGAAAAGCCACTCGAACTTGAACTGAGTCAGACAGACCTGAAGGCAGACTGGAGCAGAGTCTAACAACATTTTACAAATATACTGAAACACTGCCTTGGACAGAGTGGCTACTACTAAAAGTGCAACGTACTAACTAAACCAAGCAATACATGAAGGAATATAGAATGATGCTGTACGGTCACTGCTAGAAGTGGGGTGAAAAGTTTCATTTACTCTTCATTGTAAATTAAATGTAATCATAACATCCATTTGTCAAGGACTTTGACATCCAGCACAAAGAAATGGCTCTTCTCCCTCATTCCTCACCAGGCTATTCCTTTTTTTTTCTTACATCAGTTTCTTCTGCATGAATGCATTTGGATGTTAAATATTATTTGGTTGAGATGCTGTGTGTTCAGAACAGAAGCTGTAATATTGGTGAAAATATATTTTTGGAAAGGCCTCAAAAGTAACAAGTGAATTTTTTTTTTTTTTTTTTGACTCTCTTTGAATAAGCTGAAAGACAAATACATTGAGTGCAAGGTTGAAATGACATAACTTTATTCCTCTAGGCCTTTTATATCCCCGCTATGATTTGCAAGGTTTGTGAATATCAGATTAAATTACCTTGTTACACCTTGTTCATGTTAATTGACTTTATTTAATTAGGAAAATCACTGCAATAAAGAATATGTGTCCTTCTGGGGGGAAAAGTAATCGGAAGTTGTACTTGGTGTCAGAATAGAAGGTTTCACTAGATGGCAGTAGGGGACCATTAACCATTTTTCCTTTGATCCTCCTGCATTATCAGGCACAGTCTGGCCTTTTGTGACTTTGTAATAACAGGAACCCTTAACTCAAGCATCTTGCACTAAATGACAGTTGTTTTTTTGTTTGTTCGTTTTTCAGTTTTTTTAAGGAAGCAATCAGTTCTTCTTTGTTGCAGACTGGAGCAAAAATACAGAAAAAAGAAACTTGAGATCTTTTGAGGACACTAGAGATTGATGAGGGAAGAGGAAGTTAATCTGGTTCACTCCCTGTCATTAACTTTACTTGGTATGTTTTGGACTCTTGATTAGGCTGCAATTTGCTCATGTTTTGACTAGCGCCCTTCAGTATCTGAAGTAGTGTAAACCATGACAGGACATTCCTCACTTTTTATATCAGTTTGCATGGTGCCACTGCTGCCCAGTCTACAGTACAGTACAGTACAGTTTGATCTGGACCACCACTGTTCACAGGACCTTTTATGTTCACTGGGACCTCAGGCAAATGCAGTCTTGAGTCATATCGTAACAGAAACATTGGGATTAATCTCTTCCATCTGTGCTGACTTTAATGTTTTCCCTGGAAAAGAGAAGCTGATTTTTTTATTTTTTTTTTTTCAGCCTTCATTTTCCCCTTGTTTCATGCTTGTGTTTGATCTCATCCATGATCGCTTGTGCAAAATAATTTGAATCACATTCTCTAGAACAAACCCACATCTTTGCCATTGAAAGTACAACCTCAAAGATGGATGTGGTGGTGTGTTAAATGTTGCAAGATGCAAAGAAAAAAAAAAAAAATTAACCACAAGTTGTAATGATCTTCAGACTGGAGACACTGGCTGCACTCGGCAGTATTCCTTCTTTCTGTCTGACTCAGAAATGCTGCTAATCTCTCTGCGGAAACTCGTGCTGTGTCCTGTCTGCCAGCAGGCTGTGCCCAGGACATTATGCAGAACCTCTCCGGTTTAGGAAGTATGTGTTGCTGCATTTATCTGCTTGTAATGGAGTTTTATCTCAGCTTGTTTAGGACATGTCCTGTCTTTGTTTCCTCAGGCTGAACGATAATGACTCCTCAGTGATCTAAATCCCACCCGGCAGTTTCAGAACTTAAAAAAAAAGAAGGTGCACAGCAGATTTTCTTTTGTGCTAAAATAGTTTTCACAGTAAAATTGTTACTGCAAAAATTGAAATCACTCCCAAATGCTTTGCTAATGAATTCCTTGTGAACTTATGGAGTAATGTATTTCTGATGAAGGCTGGTATTGAGACATCTAGGAGCACATGCAGCACAATTTTGCGCACTTGTACAGCTGCCAGTAATTCAACAGATTTACTATGAGAGCTTGCTAATAAACACAGATCATTACCAGATGTACCCCCTCTCCTCCTCCTCCTCCTCCTCCTCTCCTCATCCCTCCTTCTCTCCCTTCTTTCCTTTCCTCCCCGTCTCCACAACTTTTTCTCCCTGCAACTGTGATCTCAGTGGAAAATCTGAGTCCAGGCCTTTCCCTTCAGTCCCACACACATATACAATGTCCGCAGCAACCTTGGAACATCCACCCCCATCAACACTTTGCCAAATGAACACTTCTTGCCTACACCTCCCTGCCTCCAATGGAAGTGCTTTACTCAATCCCCAAAAATCCCCCGAAACTCTGCCTCCTTCTATGGAGGTGCGTCTCAATCCCTCAGACCTCTGCCCCCTTCCATGGAAGTGCCTCACCGAACCCCCAAAAACTCCCTGCCCCCTTCCATGGAAGTGCCTCACCAAACCCCCAAAAACTCTTTCCAAAGTCCTCTCCAACAACTGCACACAAAGAGGCAGTAGGGGGCACTGTGTCTCTTCCTGCTCCCCAGGAGAAAGGAGAGAGGACCCCCCCTCTCATCCTCCACCAGTCCCTCAACCACCTCTTGCTTTTATGTTCAGGTCAGGTCTGGACGCAGCAGTGAACCAAACAAAGGACCGACTTTTACAGAAAGAGAATAACAAAATGCTTTCAATATGTGCCTCAGCTGCTTTTCATCAAGCTTGATGAAATTACTCCAGTGTGCATCTATTCAGGGTTTCAGTTCTTGATTGCCTGCACGGCCTATGTGGGGAGGCGGGTGAATGAAAAGGAAACATGAGAAGCTTTTTTGCAGATTTTTGATGATATGTGTTCTAAAAGCATTAAAACAGTCGAAATCAGTCTCTAATTGCACCTTATTTCGTGCAAAGTAAAAAATAAAAATTGTGTGTGCAAGTTGGAGCCTCCTGCACAGTCAGCAGGCTGCTTGGTTATTCCTTGGAACCCCTTTTAAGGAAGCAGACATATCTCGCATTTTGTGTAAACTTTAAGTCTGTGCGCGCTCTAGTGTATTCCCTACTCATCATCCCAGAGAAAGCCCCCCCCTTCTTCCTCCTCCTCCTCCTTCTCCTTCTCCTTTTCCTCCTCCCTCGCCGTGCGCTCTGGTCCTCCTCTGCGCGCTTTGGGTTTCGTCTCGGACAAATTGCGGCGGAGCGCTGGATCACTAAAAGTTCGCCGAATCGATTTAGAGGTACCGGGCTTGGGGGGCCGGAGAGGTTCGGTGTTTTCTTGTCGAGGGACTGGGGTGTGGTACTATTTGAGTTTTTAATTTTTTCGCAGTTTAATCATGGAGACTCTCCGAGGTCTCCTTGCGCTGCTGTGCGTTTTCCTGACTGAAGTTAGTGCGCAGCCCCAAAGACGCAGATTTGAGGGTGAGTTTGCTGAAAATATGTCGCACATTTTTAAAAAAACGTTTCTAATATCTGATGTTTATGGCATTATGTTGCATGTAAACATGTCTTTCTGTCCTTGAATGTACTGAAGTGATGTTTGCTGCAAGAGCTAGTCCAGATGTTCATTGTCTTTGGGTTGCATACCTCTGAAGTTTAACCCGCTTTACAAATCAGCAGCAGAGACGTAACAGCAGCTGAAAGTAAGACCAGAGGATGATGGTAGCCTAGCACATATCAAGTAGGCCCTTGTTTGGTCCCATGCTATAGTGGGCCTGAATAATAGGCTTTGGGTTTAATGCAAAGGAAGATCTACCAGTGCTGTGGATGCCGATAAATATGCACAAGAACCAAAGCAGGTGATAATAATAAAAGCATGCTTCCTTGCCAAGGTGCTGTGCAAGAGTTAGTACCCTATAAGTAAGTACAAGTACCCTATATGCAGCCAGCTAGTACACGGGCACACACAGACAAAGTACTGCACCTGCATCATAAATATGCCTGTGTAAAGATGGTCCAGGAGCCATCCCATGTTACCCAGTGTGATGCAGGTTGCTCCAAGCAGCATCATGTTGGCCTGAAGGCCTTCAGCGCTGCAGCAGTGTTACCCCCTGCTGATGTCACTTCAGTTAATGGACGGATGGATGTTAATGTGTTTTGGATTCACTGGATCTTGAGGATATGGATGATATATTTGCTGACAGCCATGTTTGTTTGTTTCCTTTGTGAGCAGAGTGTCCTGTTGACCTTTTCTTCGTGCTGGATACGTCTGAGAGTGTCGCCCTCAGGCTGAAACCCCCCGAGTTTTATATTGACCAGATCAAAGATTTCACCAAGCGCTTCATAGATCAACTACATGACATGTAAGACACACACACACACACACACACACACACAGAAGTATTAGAAAGTATTCAAATTCTCAACTTCTAAAAGTAGCACAGTGTAAAGATGCTCCTCTTCAAATAAAGGCCCTAAATTCAAAAATATTACTTAAAGATGAACTTAACACCTCCGTCCTATAGCTTCTCACATTTCTGCAGTGTCCAGGTGTACACTGGGACACTGTGACATCACTGCTGTGCGTGACCAAAGGTGCAGTACAGCACACAACTTGGCCACACCCATTGATGCTGTATGTGGTCTGACATTTCAACCAGCACCTCAACAAAGTACCTCAAAACTGTACTTAAGTACAGTATTATAGTACAGTACTTAGTTACATTCCACCATTGCCTATCTGCACCATGTTGCATAGTGATTGATTGATTGATTGATTGATTGATTGATTGATTGATTGATTGATTCTTTATTTGATGTTGAGTTGATGAGATGACTGTTACTCTACTTAACACCTCTATGTATCCAGGAGGCACGAATGTGACCGCACGCTGACATGGAACTCAGGAGCGCTGCACTACAGTGACGAGGTCATCATTGTGCGCCCACTGAGCGCCCTGGGCACTGACCGTCAGGCCCTGAAGAGCGATATCGATTCCATCAAATACATCGGCAAGGGCACACACACTGACTGTGCCATCAGGAGCGGCCTTGCTGAGCTGACCGTGGGGTAATAACAACACACACGCATGCAGTGTACACTTTAGCAGATTAAGTAATCAGCGATCTCATTTCCAAGTGTGTGTTTGTGTGTCTGCCTGCGTGCAGGGGTTCCCACTACCATGAGAACAAGTACATCGTGGTTGTGACTGATGGCCATCCTATAACTGGTTACAAAGAGCCATGTGGAGGAGTGCAGGAGGCTGCCGCTGAAGCCAAGCAACATGGAGTCAAAGTGTTTGCTGTCGCCATCGTACCTGACCAGGAGGTACGTTAGTGTAATAAATACCCCAGCTCCTAACCTTACCTTCACCACTACAGCTAAATGCATAATTACCCCAAAAGATTAAATGTTAAAGGTCTGGGAAACTTATTTTCTCTATCAGTTTGTTAATATAAGTAATGGGGTCCTACATGAACACATAATTT